TGTGCAAATAAAACTATTTAAACATGGACCTACCCTCTCAGCTTGACCTTCATCTGAACTGGATCTGCGTTAGATTTAAATCACGCGCTACCGTGCTTTACCTTAGCCAGGTAGACATAAAAGGAGTTTCCCCCTTTTCTGTTTGATACCAGCGGGGAGTTTTCTGTGGTTCCGCTCAATCATTCAATTAACAGCCCGAGAAGTAGTTAATGGAGCCGGAAAACGGGTGGAGCTGAAGGTTAGAGCCAGTTAACGGTTTAAAGGATGAGGCGCGTCTGCTGCTGCTGCCTCCTCCTGGTCTGAGGCGATCTCTGCTGGCGGCGGAGGAGCGCTGCATCATCCTGGACCAAAACCAGCATGGAAAGACTCCATCTAATGTTTGCTCTAACTGTCCAAATAAAATTCAACAAGTTTCGAATTGTTTGTATTTGATTTATTCTGTCCAGAGATAAACCAGTTTTAGATCCAGGATGGAAATATGAAATACGGATTGCTTTGAAATACGGAAATAAAACTTTATTTGCGTTAATTTGATGAGACACTTTGGGGGGAAACGTAGCAGCAGCTGAAGACAAACTGTCTGTTCCTCTTTGCGTCTGATGGAGACAGTTATTTCTGCACCATTCTTTCTATCGAACATATTATTAGATGAGTGATTATCGGCCTTTTTGTTATTCAAATAGAAACTGTCGCTTCTTCCTCTGGCCTGCTGAGCCCCATCCAGCCTGAACTCAGAGGAGGAAGTTTGTTGTTTGTCTTACACCCTCCTCCTCGCACCTCATTCGGAAATAGAGGACACTTCTAAAACGCAGCCAACTGTTAATAGCTCTCCCCCATGTTAGCGAGCTAAACAAATCACTGTTGATGTGGGCGGGCTGCTGGAAGCTTTCTCTCCGCTTTGCGCATGCGCGGGGAGCCCTTTTGCTTCTCGCTCGGCTCGAGCCACGTCTGCTGACCTCGCGGTGACTCTTCCTTCTTTCATTATTCATGAGTCTTGACCGGATCGCTCACCCCTCTCCGTGTCCAAAGGCAACGCTGCTTATCTTACGGGCCTCAGAGCGCGCGAGCTGGGACGTTAACCAATCAACCAAACCTTGACAAACGCAGAGGAAACGCAGAACTGAAGCAGGGAGGAGATTAAGGTCACAAACAGTGAATATGCAGGATGAACATTTAGCATCGATCTGCAGCAAATATTCCCATGCTTCATCTACCCGTTTTAGCTCTCTGGGCCTAAAGCAATTAAACGCACCATGCTGCATCCCACCGCAGCTCTCCTTTACACACAGAAAAACACGCCTTCTGCAAAGCTCGGCAATAAAAGGTCAGCTTCATTACTTTCTCATCCCACTCGTCATCGCCAGCAGCCAAAGTGCAAAGACAAACCTATCCGGTCTGGCAGTCTTAAACCAGCAGCAAGCCCGTACACATAAGGCACATGAAGAAAAGGCTGGAGCTGCCCTGTGTACATAAAGGAGAAACCGAACACACACAGCAAAAACAAAGGAGCCCACAGAACCGCGATGCCTCCAATCCTCCCAGACTGGAAACACATACATGACCTATATATCTCTGCCTGGCTGAAGGCCCCGAGGAGCTGAATGTGTGAGGAGAGCAGTGTGGGAGGAAAGGGGCCGCAGGGGCCACGGGCCGCGTTCCTGTATCATCATTAAAGGGAGGAAGTTGATGAAAAATGGTATAGGGAGTTTTTTTTTTTTTTTTTTTGCCTTCCTGTTTACTGAGCTGAACTTCCTCAAGGACCGAGACCATCCCGCAAACCTGCTGCGAACTGCGATACATCACTGCTCAGTGGGCCCCTAACAGTCCCACCGAAACAGGAATAAGGATCCTCCATGGATTCAGAACAGGGATTCATTCAGCAATGCTGAGTATTTGTAGAACTGTAGAAATGTACACTGGAAAAAATCTAAATCTAGATAAGTCCTTTTTTCTTAAAACAAGTGAATTTGTTCTTGAATTGAGGAGGTAAAAGAGACATTTAGCCAATGGAACAAGACGGTTTACACTTAAAATAGGAAAACACGGTTGCATTGTCTTATTTCAAATGCATTTTATCTAATTATCTTATTTCAAGTGTAATATACTCATTCCATTGGCAAACTATATTATTTACCTACTCAAATTAAGGGTGAATACACTTAATTTAAGAATTTTTTTTTACTTATTTCTAGGTTGTTTTTCCAGTGTAGAAGAAACAAGACTTTTGGTCTGAAAGCCACAGGAAGCAGCATAAAGGCAAACAAAAGTCACATCAAAATAAACTATAAATAAAGTAAGACTAAGGCCATGATCAGGATCACCTGGTTGAATAATTGCTTCATAGATTTATTTAGTATTAAACTACACTTCCGGGTTCAAATGTCTCACACACTGCAAAAAATTAAATCTCAAAAAGTCTGTTTTTTTCTTAAAATAAGTTTTTTTTTTCTTTTAATTGAGGAGATAAGCGAGACACTTTGCCAATGGATCAAGACAACTGGCATTTAAGATAAGAGAAAACAAATGCATCATCTTATTTCAAGTGCATATTATACAATCATCTTATTTTAAGAGTAAAAATACTCATTCCATTGGCAAATAA